AGAAAAGGGGCGGGGGGGTCCCCCGCCCGGGCGGGAGCCGCGGTGCTGGCCGGCCTCCAGCCAGCCCGGCCGGAGGAAACCGCGGCCCCGCTCTGTGCCGCCGCCAAAGCAAATAGAAATGGGGCGTTAAACAATGCCGGGCGCTAACTGGGGGAGATGTTGGCTGCCGGCATTGCCGCTGTGGATGGGCTCCTCGTCTCCAAGAGAGAGTTTCCACTGGCATCTCTGCCTCCTCTCCCCCATGCGCAGCCAAACCCCTCCCGTCGGACAGCCTGAAGGCTTCATCCACCCTCCTCCTCCTCCTCTCCAGCCTCTCCAAGGAGGCAGGACCATCCTGCGTGCCTTGGTGGGGCTGGGGCCAGGCTGGGGACTTGCTGGGTGCTGAGGGAGGTGGGAGGGCTGAAGGGTGAGGAAGAGGAGATGCCCAGCTTGAAGCAGCCCTCCTGCTTCACCGTGGGCTCGCTGGAAGGATTTGGCTTAGTCATCCATCCCTTCCCTCGCTGGTAGGCTGAGCCACTGCTGAAAATATCCTGGAAGGCTCCCAAGCGGCACAGAAGGCAAGAAAATGAGAAACACATGAAGAAAGAGAAGAAGGGAAGGGATGGGAAGGGAAGGGGAGCGGGTGCTGGTGGCGCCTAGGGGAACGGGGCTTGGGGTGGGCTGCTGGGCCACCCACGTCCCTGCCGGGGCTGGAGCAGGGACACCCCACCGCAGCCATCCTGGCAGCACCTTTGAGGAGGGGGCTGCTCCCTCGGTGGGTGCTGGGGTGATGCTGATGCTCCGCACTGGGGTCTGTCCCCGGGCAGTGGCCTCGGCAGGGCTGGGGACGCTGCCCTTCCCGCGGGCGCTTCAGGGCGAGCTCGTAGGAAATTGCTCACCCTGAGAAAATGCGTTCCCGGCAGCTCCACATCCTTTTGGCCCTCGGGAAGGGCTGGTGCCCTGACCTTTTGGCCAGCCCATGAGAAGTCCAGCAGCACTCCAGCCACTTGCCGCGGGGCTTTCGCCGGGTTTTTAGGCACTTTGCTTTTAGCACTTGCGTAGGCTCCGAAGGCATGAGGTTGGCTCCTTGCTGTGTGAGCTGTGACTGTGTCTGACGGGTCGGGATCTGCACAGCTTCTGTCTGCTGCTGCCATCTCGTGTTGCTCCATAAATCAGTCCCCAGATGGGGCTGGCCACCGGCCTTGCCATGAGGTTATGGCGGGCTGGCATCTCCCCGCTGACGCTGGGTTTGCTTTCCTGCCCGCTCGGGGCTGAGCGTGCCCGGATTTTGGGGCAAGGGGCTGGGGAACACACGCTGGCCCCTTCCCTGCCCGCTACCTCTTCGAGCCGGGGGCCAAAACCATGTGAGCTGCAACCTGAGACCTGCCGAAGCCCTTGGAAAAATTCCTTTCCCATACAGTCACCGCGGTGGGATGGGAGGAAAGGTCCTTAGAGCCCCTGGGTGTCCCCTGGGCTTTGCCATCTGTCCCCCCGGTGTGCAGAGCTGCAGCTTAGCATCTCGGTGGGGACCACACTGAGTCCCCATCACCCCCAGAATGTGATATCCCCCCCCCACAGTGTACCCCAGCTCTGGAGCATCCCCCCTGCCTTCCCTCAACTGCCAGGGAAGGACTTGGGATGCTGAGGGATACCTGGAGGAAGGGCTGCCGGTCCTGGATGGGGAGGGCTGGGGTCCCACATCCCCACTGAGCCCCTCCACACCTCTAACCCCCCTCTCCTCTCTGCCCAGGTCTCTCCCGCAGCGCCAGCCTCTCCGAGAAGGAGCTGAAGGAGGCGAAA